AGTTTTCCACAGCAAAGACATGGCTAGGAGAAAGCACACTGTCATCCTAGTCTGTATTCACTAAGGAATTTTGTCACATAATTCCACAGCCACAGGTGAACATTAGGGAGCAGGGTTTGCGGAATTCTCAACCCCCTCATTTGGTTCTCCCACCCTTTATTCCTTTGGCCATGTCACCGCTAGAATGCAACACCTAAAAGAACTTTTCTTAGATAAAGTTTGCAGCTTACGATACATAAGCACTTGGACATCCTGCACCCTGCCTGAACAATGCAGGGTCCCAAAGCAAGATGCAGAGACAAGTTATTTAAAAAGCTGACCCCTCCCTCACCCTAGATTAATTTGTCCCTATCCTCGAGAACTTGACCCCACATCCTCAAGCTCCTGCTCCACACTACCGTGTCTTGTGGTTATTGCTCGTTTTCCACAGGCAATGACAAACCTTGTGATTGACAGGAATTTGCCAACAGCTGTTCCGTACAGATCCGTTATTTCCAAGGAGCTAACATTGTTCAGAAAGAAGAGAAAGAAAAAAAGGCAAGGCTGCGGCATTCTCTGCAAAGGAAAAGCAGTGTATCAGAACTAGCTTCTTCTGAACTGGAACCCATTTCACTCCTGGCATCAGGTTGCTAATACTCAGTAGGCAGGCAGGTGAGAAAGATGTGGAGGCAGAGTGATTGCGAGTAATAAATGGCATTATAATTAGGCTAAAATGTGGCACAAGACTCCACTTGCACTGCAGTCTTACAAAACAAATGGAAAAACACTGAAAATACACTTACTACAATCAGTAATTCTGTGTCCTGGTAGTAGCCCTTCACTAGGTAAGAAGGGCATGCTTGGGGGGTCCCAGCCTTCAGGAATTAAGCTCCTCTCTCAGGAGAGTAAACTGCCTTTGCAAGCACAGGCTGGTCCCTGGGAGGCATGGCTCAGGCCAGTACCCCTCGCTGGCAGTCAGCCCAAAGTCAGAACTCCCACACACTCCGGGCAGATCATCATCTTAGGCCAGAAACCCATAATTTGAAACCTACCTCCACTTTATAGCCTGGCAATAGCTCCAGATAGTAAAAGCAGAGGCAGTAACTAACAGAACATGAACTTAGCTCCCACTGCAGTCATGCACTGTGCCTATCACAGGATGCGGGGTGAGCTGGCAAGCCAACCAACCAGCCCCGATGTTTACTGCCAGCTCTGGGTTATGCAAAGGCATAGGAACAGGGGTCCCTCTTCTTGAAGAGTTACAGTTTGATTTCACCAGAGAAATACTGAAGAGAAGGAGAGAAGGGGAAAAATACCCACACACAGAAAGCCATCCAACAGAAATAAGCAGACAGGAAGGCATAGCTATGTAGAAGAAAAAAAGCCAGAGAAAGGCAGAATGAAGCTGGAGCTCAGCAGAGAAGCGCTGCAGAAAACAGCTTTCCAATCCTGGCCTGAGCAGAGCTCTCCTGGCTGTTCCAGCCAAGTACAAGCCTTCCGGGAAGATTTCACAAAGAGCACATGGGAGAGCACAGGAGCAGAAGTGGAAGAAAGCACCACTGGTGTTCCTGCACCTCCCTTAACAGCCCTGCACTACTACAGTAAACAGTGAGTAACCCATTCCAGGTAGCTGCAATAACTAGCTGTGGGTTCTTGCTTAAACCTGACTTTGCTTGGATTCAGGGAAGTGAGCTGACTTCTCATGAGGCAAACCATGGCCTTTATGCATCTTCCTGTTCCCCCTTTTCAGTGTGGGTTTAGTTGATGGGTCCTGGAAAGCGTCTTCCATCTGTCCTGCTTCACAGCCCTCGCACTTCACAGAATTTATGCTGATGCTAACTACAGCAGTGACTGCCCTCATGTAAAGAAAGAGTATTTCTGGCAGAATTAAACCTCACCCAAATGAAAATAAAATTCAACCTGATATTTTCAGTAAAAGCAAATAAATAACATGTTCACCAGCACCTTATCTACAAGCAGTAAGATCTTTCACTAACCATTACCTTAGTGAAAGTGAGCTACAAACCAGTGCCTGTACAGATATTAACTATCACATCTGAATACAGACACTTCACTGTGAGTCTCCTTCCAAGGCTTACATACCCTTTTTTTACTGCAGCAAAATTGATGCACAGATACCTCTACTACTTGGCCTGAACCTTTGAAGATGTTTACAGAACACGTTAAACCAGTTTCTGTGCTTAGCATTATGGTTTCCTTCTTTATGAATGGCAATGCAAATAGGGTTTTCTAAATAATGAGAATACACATATATATTTTAATACACATAAAATTACTTAATGGTTCTTAACTATTTTGTGCCACTGCCATCATACTAGGGTGGAATTTACCATACCAAAACATATGTTAAAGCCCTAGAAAAGTTCAGATTCGTGAGTAAAACTTTCGGAACAATTATCCAACAAGAAGTATATTCTGTCTTAAAGTTGCAGGCATAATTCTCATTCTGACTGAACAAGAAACTGAGAAAATGCTCCATTAATTTAGGGAGTCTGACCATAAACTGGATAAGCTTTCTGGGAAAACACTGCTTAGAAATGTCTGATTCCATTACAGCTGTAGAAGTATGAAATAACTCCGCTTGCTTCTACAGAATAAGAAACTAATCATCAATAATAGCATTGCTTAAGCCCAAATGACAGTAATCTTTATTTCAGGTCTTGATTGAGCAAGTATAGAAACATACACCCCATGCTGGGTCTAGGCACACAGGACATTCCCTCCTACCCCCAACAATAAATAAATTATGGAAGCTGTGTGATGCTGTCCATGCAGGTCAGTCACTTCCCCGTTGACATGCAGCTAGGTTCCACTTCCAGGTGTGTCAGCACCTTCTGCATCACCTTTGTGTGCTTCCCAAGCAACATACAGAAGCAGGGCAATAACCACAGGAACTATACCCTACTTTATGCAGCTGCTGCTCACTTTTAGAGAACAATCATGGCCAGAGAAACTTTAGCTCTGGCTTTGCCCCCTGATAGAGTTGCAGCTGCAATTAAGTGCTAACCCCTACTTGGAGCCCAGGGGCTTGTATCACATACGGGTTTGCCAGCCCTGCCGCAGGCATGAGCGTTTCAACCCACTGAATCCATGTCTGAACTGTAGCAGCCCTCACTTCAGACAAGATTGGAAGAATAAGCAACATTTCAATTTGCCTACAGTTTATTTCCAAAGACTAGTTTGGTTCAGTCTTGGCAAGTGTGGCTAGGCTACCTTCATGTAGCAGTTGTCATCCTGGGCAAGGACTTGTAGAAGTTTCAATTTTTTCTCATTCTTCCTGTTGTTTTCCCTCAATAGTTCTACTGGTCTTTTTTTAACTGCAGGTGCCAGTCTGGAACCTTCACTGCAAATGGTGTGAGAATCAGAAGGACAGGGGTTATCTACAAAAAGAGGAGGTGACAACTTCTCTGAGACCAGGAGCTCCAGGGGCTCTGCAGCTTTTCTTTCTAAGTTTAGCCCAATGCTGTCCAGTGATTCTTCTGGTAATCTACCTGCCAAGTCACATCTGCTTACCGCATACTTTATCACCTCTTTTTTCCCCCCTACATTTCCAAGTTGCCTCAAGGGGTTGTATGCATGGCAGTGAAAGTCACTACTTAGTCTGTTACTGCTGCTCTCTTGCTTTCCTTTACCAGCATAGTTAAAGCTGTTAGGTTTTGTCCCTTTCATAGTTCTTTCTCTGCTGTTAAAATCTTGACAGTTCAGCTCTAACAAATGCAACAGATGTTTGTCTCTGCTGGTATTTTCATCTTTGCTATCACCAGACAGCTCATTACAGTTGATGATCCAAACGCTGCCATCACTGGTCTGTGTGACATTCTCACTAGAGGCTAAACCTGGGACAATGCTGCAGTCAAAACCCTGTACAATTAAACATACATGGTCATCTGCCCTCTGGTCAGGTTCAGAGATTATGGTGTCTGGAGGCGTTTCTCTCAGGTTGTTGTACAAAAGACGAATGAAGGGTTCACATAGTGACCTAGAGATAAACTCACTGTAATTGTCACAGTATGTACCATTACATTTAACTGCATTATCAAAAGGTTGATAAGCAGATGGCTGAGGTCCAGTGGGGCAAGAAATTATACTGGCTTTCTTTTGAATATTTTGATATGTTACTTGCTTATGTATTTCTTTCTCTGGTAGGAAAGCTGAAGCACTGTCATTTGCTTGTGTGGAGAAAGATGTAAAATCAGTATGTTCTGAACAAGCATTTTGAAAATCAAGCTCAGTGCAGGGAGATCTGTAGTTGGTATAACATGTCTGATTGCTAGGGGATTGGTAAATTTGATCTCTGCAGCTAAGTTCTGGTGTCTCTGAACACTGTGTCAAAGGTGAAGAAGAGCACACATTTTCAAAACACAGCGTCAGGCTACTGCTAGCCATAGACTGAGACATAAGGGTGTCAAAGCTCTTATATGCAGAGCCACTTGACTCCTTGAATGCAGATACAAGGGTGTCAAAGCTCTTGTAGGCAGAAACACAGGGCTCCTCACATGGAGACATAAGGGTGTCAAAGCTCTTGTAGGCAGAACCACAAGGCTCCACAGATGGAGTGATAAGGGCGTCAAAGCTCTTGTAGGCAGAGCTACACAGCCCCATGGACGGAGACACAAGGGTATCAAACCTCTTGTGTGTGGGGTTGCTTATTCTGTCTTTTTTGGTCCCAAAGGATGGTTTATTTGGAGATTCCTGGATCAGGATGCACAAGTCATGCTGACTTTCAGAACTGCATAGAAAAAGGCTTTGATGAACCATATGTTGAAGATCTCTTGCATCCAGAGAAGCAGAATTTATGCTGGAGCTCCGATAGCCAGATTCAAAGGATTCTTCTGACTTCTTGCTGGCTGTACTACAACTGTAGGCATCTTGAGAGGCTTTGGTGAAAAGGGAGACTGTATGAGAAATATCACATGGCTGCTGACTCTGGGCTGTGCTTTCTTTTGGATTTCGCTGTGATGGATTTTCTGACTCAAGTTTCTCAAAGCTTTTATTCTCACCTGTGATGATGTCTGGGTCTCTGTCATCTGGCGTGTTGTTTTCATCCGCCAGAAGCTCAATAAACATACTAGCTAGTGCATCGTTGTGTTCAGTGTGCTTTCTGAAAGCACTGACACTGCTCTCACAAGGCTCAAACATGGTGATCTGGTCACTAGTCTCTTCCTGGCTCTCAGCCTCAATGTCTGTTAAACGTTCGCAGATTTCTATAGACTCTTCAACCAGAATTGTCTCAGGGGTTAAAACTGCACTGCTGCCTTTTGGAAACCACTCCCCAGACTCGCTGTGGCAACTGCAAGATTTCTCAACATTTCTGATGTTATCTTTTCCCTTGAAGTTTTGGCTTGACAAACTTTGAGCCAGGCAGTTCTTGCAACTTCTGTTTTTGGAAGTCAAAAGGAAAGGACAGTTAATGTTTATGTAATAGGAAACGATTTTATGCTGTAAAGCAGAGGTTGGGGTTTTTTTGGTTGTTTTGTTGGTGTGTTTTTTTTTTCCTTCCCCCTTTATCTTACTTACATTTGGTTTTCCGTATGACTCTGCTTTAAGTCATGGAAAGAGAACTTAATTTCATCAATGTAGCACAAAACTGAAAACTAATAAAGATACAAATGAGATTTAGGACACATGTGAATCGTATTTAGTATCCCCTGCACTAGCCAGACAATAGCAATTATTACATATTCTACTTCTAGTGATCAAGAAAAGGTATTTTTTGCCAAAAGTTTAAATTACCTTGACATTTTTTACAACCAAATGGCTCTTTGCTGGATTTGGGATTTGATCCCACCATTCTTTCTTCACTCTGCAAGGGAAGAATTAAAATTGCTTTGGCTGCATTTTGGCTTCATCAGTGCACACTTCCCTCTTCTGTTCTCTCTCTCTTAGCCATCTGCATTGCAGCAACAGGAAGTGCCTGTTTGGTGCATCTCCAAGTGCTGCTTTTCATTAAACTAGTGCAAAGATGTTTATATGTTTGGTGCGTGACTGCTCCGCACAACCACAGTCACATGTTCTTCTAAACATGTTTGAAATGATGTGCAAAACAGATAGGATCCCACTTTCACATTACCACTAAAAAAAAATTTAAAAAGAAATACGAATATTTAACCATCATTGTTGGAACTCCAGCAAACACTGGGATCCAAGACTGACAAACCCCATAACTGCAGCCCGTTTTGGATGCTACAACAAGCCCATTCTAGTAAGATTAATAGAGAATATTCAGTTACCTATGCAGAAAATGACACAGTGCAGCTGATTCATGTTTATAAAACATTTGCTCATAGAGAGGGAGATAACAGTGCTGAGGAAAAACAAAACATTCATTTCCTGTACTACTAGACATTCAGCTAATCAATAGCAATACTTGTATCTGTGCAACTGCTACTCTATAAAACCTGTGAACAGTATGATACATACTTGGTAAAACAGAAGTAACAAATTACAGATACTGCCATGATCAGTATGCAGGATACAGGAACAGCCATCTGCAGAATGTCATCAGCTGTTACTTGGTAATCTGTTAAACAAACATACGCTTTTACATGTATATGTGCGTATAAATACAAGTAGTAGCAATACCAAATTCATTGCTCCTCTTTTGCACCTTAAAAAATGCTCCTTTAGAGGACATAAAATAAAGCCTCCAGCAGATAACCAACAGAACATACACAGCTACCAGCGGTGGTGGTGTGTGGCATGTCTGAAAGGTCAATGCAAGTACTTGCAGTCAGTTACTGTGAGTGTTAGGAGCTGGGAGAGCCAACATGTACTGTGAGGCCATTTGTCAGCTCTTGGGGACAAACCTGTCACACAGTTCCTAAAATGGCATTATCATCTCCACTGTAGTGCAGCTATGCTTCTTGTCCTCTCTGTTGCTCTTCAGAGATTTTTATAAACACTCAGCCCTCTGATGGCTGAAGTATGGCTTAATTTGCAGCCTAAATGTCCCTTGTTCTTTTATACCCAGTTGCTCTTACGTCAACGTTGTTCTTCAATTTAAACATCTCTTCTCCTTCCCTGGTGTCTACTTCATGAAATATTTATAGAGAATAAACACATCCCCTTTCAGACTTTTTTTGCCACAAGGCTAAACAATCCGATTTCCCTTGGTCTTCTCTTCCTTAGTTTCCTCAGGAGCTGCCTTTTTACATTTCGTGTCTTTGGAAGCCTTTACAGATGTATCCACAATACATTCAAAAGGATGAAGATGATGATTCCGAACTCTCCTCTGAGAGGAGAGCAGTGGGGTCTATATGATATGGTTTATAAAATTATACCACCCTTTTATCAAGCTGCTATTTGTTACAATACTTACCATAGTGAAATTCAACGCCTTCACTCCATTCGCTCCAGTAGGCCGGGTAGTCTGTATAGTTACACCTTACACTTGCAACATAATCATAGCCTCTCCTCAAGGAGCTTGCAATAATTTCAAAGCTTTTTGCCTGGTAGTTAATTGCTTTTAGAGAAACCTGAGAAGAAAGTGAGAAAGTTCACTTTTATTTCTTTATGACATGAAGTGTTAGTGACAGCAATTAAATAACAATAGTGTTACGTGTTTCAGTGACCTTTCACAAATGAGCAAATGAATGAATGTGTACCTAATCTGCTGTGTGATACTGCATTTTGTTGTCATGAGTGGGTGGTGTTTGTGACATGCCACCATGCATATTCTTCCCCTATCAGAAGCAGCCCAGCCCTAAAGTGATGGATTTTTCAGGAGGGTGTCTGAAACGCCTCAAGTGCACCACAGAGTCATGAACAGCTGCCAGCTTCCCTATGTCTAAGGAGCAAATGAAGTTCAGGTAACAGAAGCACTGTATTTTCAATCTCTGCCCTGTCTCCTGTGAGCAGCAGACCATCTTGGGGTGGCAGTCAGAAGAGTTTCAATCCTTTAAAGCCCAGCTGGACCACCTTGGAGCAATGTGACCTCTGGCAAGTGTGTGATCAAGAACATTGTGGGACTTGCCCTTGCTGGCTCCTACACCATTATTCATGAAACGGTTTCAAGACTTTTCAAATGTGAAAGCTCCAGATAGACAGAAAATTAAGAGAGTGGCTGTCTCTTACCTCTGTTGGGTGCTGCTTCCTCCAGTATTTCACTTCATAGACGACTGGCTGTCCGGAGAGCATGGATGCAGGAGAGTAGCTCTCCTCCCAGCTCAGATTGAAATTACCATTTTCAACTTTCTCAATGGCAAGATTTTTGGGGGCCCTTGGCTTAACTGTACGTTAAAAAATACAATTAAGGAGAACATGGCAATGGGAAAGCACTGATGGAGAGAAGCAGAGACACAAACATTCACCAGAGACCAGAATCTCATCGCAGTCAATGCATTTAGCCCTTTACACTATGCTGTAGCACAAGGATATAGAGGCCAAAACAGGCCTACTGCAAAGTATTCATTAACAAGCACTGAATCTTCAAGCTGGCTGAACAAACTGCAAGTTCAACCTTTTGGTGCACTGGATGCAGCTTTCAGCCTGGAAAAATGTGAACCACCTGTGCCCTCACAATAGCATGCTGTGCTGCTTGGGTAGGCACAGACCTTCTGACAACTTTGCAGCCAGGCTGTCCTGGCTACCTCTCTCTTAGAAACAGATGCAGACTCCTGCTTATTCTGCTAACATGCAGCAGCAACAATCAAGTATTCTGAAAAGAACCAGCTCACTGATGCAGATGAATGCCTGCCTAAGGTATGTGAATGATTTCTCTGAGTGTTTGAGGTTACAAGTGTTATGAATAAGAACATTGTTCTAAACAAACTAGGTACCTATAGAGAGAGAAACTGTATCTATGCTCTGTCCTGTGAAAGAGCAGAGTCATTAACTTTTTATCACTGGCTGTTATAATCCAACAGCAATTACTGCAAAAATCTCTGTTGAGGGGGATGATTCAACTAGCATGAAAAAATGAGAGTATGATAGAGACAGGAATGGAAGAAATTTCAGTAGGGATAGCTTGGTGTCTTTCTAGAAACTGGAAGTAGCACCTTCCTCTTCCTCCTTGAATTCTACAGCCACAAGTAAAATGCAGTAAAGACATGTCTAAGCCCCCAAACTGCTGAGGGCTGGCAGCTGAGAGAAGACTCACTCTCTGCTTGCCCCATTACTTATACTCTTTCCTTAAGAACCTACTCCAGAACCAGGTTTCTACACCAAATGGATTTTGCATTTAAGCCAGCATGGCACTTTTCACCTCTGATAAGAAAATATTATTCCAGTGAGATGAATGAGGAGTTAGCTAGGACTGCAAAGCCCCGAACCAGATGTCCTGGTGACAAGTAAACAGTTTCTTACCAACCAGGGCTGGCGTAACACTGTAATTCCACACATCAGTCCCATTGAACTGTAGAGCTAGAATATATGTGAGGCCCGATACAAAATAATCCGGACATATTGTGCAAGTGCACCTTAAACTGTCTTTTCCATTCTCAGGGACACACACATGATTTCTGAAAAACAGGCAGAAAATGATGTGATGTTTAGAGAGCGTGGCACACTATTTCTCAAAAAGGTGAAATCAAGCCTGAATGTGTGGAGCTAATAAAATCTGACAAACATGCTCAGTTCCTAGAAACGTTTAGCACAAACAAATCCAAATCAAAACTGAACTGCCCCAAACTTCCAAACAACCTACCCTCCCCAAACACCCCTTGCCAATGTGACGCCCGTCTACAAGAAA